CTTCAGCGAGCAATCTAATTGTTGCTTTTTGGCTCATTGATGTCATGCATTTTCATTCTCGGGGATCTGAAAAGATCACACAAAACTGGAAAAGTTTTTCCGAATTACTTAACATAAATATAAAAATAACATAAACATCTATAAAAAAAATAAATCCTAGTAGTGTAACACGACACCGTGCAGATCATTGGTCTATATAACATGTAGTAAAGTATTCAGAGAGGGTGGGTTTGGTACATAATATACAATACAGCATGCGGAATGAGGCAGTGTAGAGTAGGATGTTCAGCACAGCATATAGTGTTGTAATGAGGGATATACAACTGTGACATACAAACGCTCTTCCACTGGGTAAAGATGCAGATAATGGTAAGGATAGAGCATGGTTCAGCATGCAAATAGCCTCTGAACAGGTGTGAAAGTGATTGTAAGATAGGTTCAGAATCAGTTTAGCTAGTCAGTGCTACCTCACCAGAAGACAGATTTACTGTAGGAGCAGTATGTGTACAGACACAGTGTGTGTGTGTGTGTGTGTCCTGGACTGTCTGGCCTTACAGACGAACACTCTGACCAGGCTGATAGCTGGGGGAAATTTAGTCTGGATGAAACAAGCTGTAGGTCTAAGCAGACCAAATAGCCAGGAGGAGTGATGCTTAGTACCCCTGGGAGGGGAACCCCACTGTTAAGCATCGTTAATAAAAGTAGGCAGAAAGCCCTAAAACACAAGTTATTATTATTATTATACAGGATTTATATAGCGCCAACAGTATGCGCAACGCTTCACAATATAAGAAAGACATTACAATACAATTCGAGACAAGATGGTAAGGAGGGTCCTGTTGGTGAGTGGACTGAGTTTGTCAAAGCCTGCTATTTGCAGCTAAATTTTACAATAATAAATACCATAGGGCACAGAGTGAGCATCTTACAGTGACATTAAAGGATAATTCCCCCTTCCCCAATGCTAGCGTAAGGACTTACCTTAAATGATGCCTCTTGATCCAATCATCTTCTTCTTTCCAGTAGTTTTCTGGAGTCCCTCCAGCGCTGTCCCTTTCCTAGGGTGTCCCTCCAACACCCTAGGAATGCATAGCTAGATTCCTATTGGCTATGTCCCTTTGCAATAGCAAACTAGCTATTGCACCCACCCTCTGCTGCTGCCAATCAGCAGAGCGGGACCTGAAGTTCTCCATCAGGTCCCCACTACTGATTGACAGCAGCAGAGGGCGGGTGCAATAGCTAGTTTGCTATTGGCTATTGCAAAGTGAAATAGCCAATAGGAATCTAGCTATGCATTCCTAGGGTGTTTTTTTTGTTTTTTTATTCTGACGGCGTACACCAGTGGTTCTCAACCTGTGGGTCGCTGTGTGATTTCTGCTGTGCTAGGTGAGAGTCCTCCTCAGCCCTCTCCTAGCGCAGCAGTGTCAGTTCTCCCGCCAGATGTCGCTGCAGCAGCCGCGTCATTCCTAAATTTTACCGTTGGGGGTCACCACAAATGTTACCAAGGGGTCCCGGCCCTAGAAAGGTTGAGAACCACTGCGTTAAAGGATGAGGGTCGAGGAGGGGAGATACGGACAGTGCATGTATTGCTCTTTAAATAAAAGCTTTTATTCTCCAGACAAGATCCTGTGGAGTGGGACGTGTATGCAGTCAGAAGCTTTGATTGGAATGTGAGTGGTGTTTTGCTGTGTCTGGATTATTTAAGAAATATTTGTATTTATTTCTCTGGGTTTTTGTTTTGGCAAATGTTAGTAAATTAGTCATTGCATCCAGTAAAAATTGATTCATATTAATGCATCCATCATTGCACGTTTTATCATGCTGCATGTCGACTTGCCTGACAGAAAGTAGATAGAATTAAAAAAATTTATTAAAAAAATTATTTCAACTTACTCTCTGTATGAGTGCTGAGGCATGATAGTGCAGGGGGACCATTCTGTCAGAAGACATATAATACTGTGATTTAAACATTTCAATTCAGTCAATTAAAATAAATCTAAATTAACATTAAAATCACATATACGCTCTAACAAGTTAATATAATTTGAAAATGTTTTCAGGCAGGAGGCAGCAGTGTGTCAGTGTGTCTGTACATGCCAGTGTAGCCAACTCACTCACAACTTTTTTTACTGACCTCATGTGCAGAATTTACTGACGGAGCACAATATTTGTTATCAACAACCTGAAATATGACGGAAGCTTAAATAAAAATGAAAACAATCATATATATACACAGTATAAAACAAATCTTAACGATACCCACAACAAGTAATCTACCTTGTTTAAACACTTGACAAGTCAAACGGTGTGTGACAAAAATTGACCATACGTAAATGAATATTTCAGTGTCTTGAATGCAATGCTGCATACCCCCCAGTATTAGAACTTGGGAAAGAGGGGAACCTGTAGAAAGAAAAAAAAGGTGGAAAAAGGCCGTGGCTACACTGCAGTGAATTTTGGATGTTACTTAATGGGGCATAGTTAGATAGAGGCTGGGCCTACTTAAAGTATACACGGTACACAGTTTCTTGCAGCCACAGAATGAGTGTGCAATGAGCAAAATGCTCACAAACACAAATCTAAGGAATCATTTAAAAAAATAAAACAATATAAACAAAGCTTACACTTTGTCAACTTTGCCTTAAGATGAACTTTATTCAAATAGAATGTAGCGGTACAGAGTATTATATCATAAAGGACCCTTACATTGCTGGTTGGGGGTGGAAAAAATGTTCCAGCATCACTGGAGGTTAGAACACTTTAGCAGTTGTGGTCTAAACACACATGTATCACAGTGCAGTGCAACACATGGTAATGCAAAGCATTATTTAAAACAAAATGGTGCATGTCTAATTTTTGGTCTGTTGTGGTGCATTGGCAGCCAATTGAAATTAATAGGCTGCCTTTATGGAATACACAAAACTGGAGTGCATTAAACAAACAAAGACAGACTGGCTAGGTATAGATAGGTGGGGCCCGACCACAGAGGCGTATCTTCTCCCAGGAAAAGCATGCAGAAGCATTCAGTTAGGAGAAGGAGAAGGGATGATGAAAACCTCTGACTCCTAGTACTGCTTAGCTCTGAGTCCTGAGTCCCTGGCAAGGACTTCCAGCAAGGCTGGCCAATCCAACAACCTGACAAGTGACATGGGGCGCCTGTGTTTCTTCTCTCCACTGTCCATAATCCTGTTTGTGTAAATTAAATGTGGTGCCGGAAGATGGAATTACAGTGGAAGCCAGCAGCATGCCATTGGCTAAGGAGGCTGAGTAGCTCCTGCAAAATGGAGTTTCTCTCCTTTCATACCACTGCACTCTATTTGTAAGGTAAATTCCTAGGGGCTCATCCACAAAAATATCCATACAAATCCAAAGTAGGTATAGGGGCACTCATGGGTCTTCATGCATCAGCATTTTATTGTCAACTTTATCAAGACAAAGAGATCAAACACATAAAGATCAAAGAGTGCCTCTTTACCTACTTTAGATAAGTTACTTTAGATATGGCCAATGCCCTTACTAGCTTGATGGTTCCAGAAACAAGTATAGGGTGGCAGCACTACCAGGTGCAATGGGTTGCATGGGGAATCACCTGTTACATACACATTGTATTTCTTGATGACATCATTGCACACTCTATTCAAACCTGCCTATGCCCACTATGTACATGCATCTAACCTACATCTATTTGCATGCCCCACTTATTTCATTTTTTTTTCTTGTAGAGTTTTAGGATAAATAGTGCAATAGTACTACCCCATGACACCGTATTCATGGAGCATCACTGTTTTTCTAATGTGAAAGTACAGCAGAAGATGTTTGCCTTTCAGCTCTCTATCTGATTAAAACCCAATAGCACCTTGTCTGAACAGAGCAGGTGGGGAGGGTGGTATGATACTCTCTCACACTCATTCAGTGTGTTTAAATGAGTATTTTTTTAGCACAACTGGTAAGACTAGTCTGTCAAACATCGGAAAGGGAGCTGATCGCCACCTACTGGCCAAAAAATAAAAATACAAAAAAATGATAATATTTTATTGGCTAATGAATCTATGTTTTTAACAAAATGTATTTTCAAGTCGTGGTCATAGTAAATAAAAGCTCACAGATTGTTTTTACTTGTTGTTTGGAACTGCTCTGTAACTCTTACAATTTGTTTGACTGTTTGAAAAGAAGAAAAAGAGATCTAAGAAGAACATTGTAACAGCTGTCAAGAGATTACTTACATTTGTTTCAAGAGACTTGCTGGAACAAAGAAAACAAATTCAGCTGGAACATGAAACTCTGTAAACCATTCTGAGCCCACAATTTTTATCACAGCATTATTAGCCTCCACCCAATAAAAGCACCTCTAAAAAAATCTTTGTTCTGGCTGCCTCTGTTTGTGGTTAACTCCTTCCTGCCTCTGCACTGCCCAACCTTTTTTTTTATCTTTCACAGAAATGCCTGACGTGCATGGAGATCCTGCTTCAAGTTCAATAAATAAAACAGCATCTGGTTTCAGAGAGCATGTGGTTTCAGAAAGAGGAACTTGCAGTGTCGGGTGGGGGGTGGATAAAAAAAAATGTAGTACAAAAAAGAAAGGGTTAAATGGAGAGTTAGAAAGATAAAAAGCTTTCTCAATAAAACCCACAGAGAATGGATAAACAGGAAGCAGAGGGTGAATTCTGTAGCACATTGTTGCTGTTGTCTCTCATATGAATTACATATATATTTTTTTAGGTGATAGCAGGCAGGGTTAGGAAGTGCGACTTCTGCTAGCAAAATACTGACCACAGCCTGCCTGTCCCCTTCCTGTTGCTAGGATCGGACCTCTTCCAGTACATCTTTGTGCTCATATTTTGACAGACCTCAGACAAGCTCATTACATGCAAAGTATGGGACCTGGCAGAAAAATGGTGCAGGTAGGTTGGTGGTGATACAGAGATTGGAGGAGACGGTCCATATTGGGTGGTGAGATGAAGACCAACTGATGGATGAGTGAATAGCAAGAATTAAAACTGATACAATGAGAATTGAGCATGCTGGACAGATATATTAATAATGAAAAGCCAAGTCAGAGAAATTGCTGGTCAACACATAAAAAGCAATAAATACGCCCAGACAGCACTGGATGCAGAGCTTGTGAATGATCAGAAATTGCTACTAAGAATCCTATAGAGGACTGACTTCAGCAGAGACAATTTGGAATGGAGAGCAGAGATACAGCAAGATACTTAGTGTTGCCACAGCAGCCTACAACTAATGTGGAGAGAGAGGTACAAGTCATAATGGAAATCAGTGAGTACATGTCATATATCACTCTTTATGTCTTAATTAATTGTGTGAGTGTGTGTGTATGTGTATATGCTATCTATCTATCTATCTATCTATCTATCTATCTATCTATCTATCTATCTATCCACCAAGTATTGTTTTCTATATATAGAAAACAATAAATTTTTCTAGTCTAGTAAAGGTTTTAAACTAAAAATATAATTACACAAATATGTTGCACTGTTAAAGTGGACCTTCACATGACTCCATAGGATACATGTCAGCAGGGCTATTATTTTGTGTAAAAAAAAGTGCACCTTGCTTGAAGTGAAAAAGAAGCATTATTCCTGAACTGCCCATAGCCAAGCCAGTCTAAGAGCCCATTCACAGATACAGCAATGATGTTTTATCACGCTCGATCAATTCAGATGACCCCTAGGACACATAGAAAACTATTGTTCTCTATGTGCCACAGCACAGTTGTGGTGGCCAGTGGGCTGAAAAAAAATGCAGCATGATGCATTTTTCACAGCGCACAGAATGCCACCACCACCTAGCAGAACAGCGCTTCACGCTGATGTGTGTAGACCTGAATGGAGTATGCACATTTTACACCACCAATAAATTTGAAAAAAATGTACACAGTGGCAGCTCAGGCAGAGTGCAATACAACGCACAATGCTGGAGCTGCCACAACATGGGCCTTTAATTATATGGATCATATGGTCCCTAGCTCCCGATTGCATTGTTGATGTTTTGCGTCATTGGTGACTGCAGAAAATGTGTTGTTGTCATTAGATAGCCCATGTTTGACTGACTTGCAGTAACAAAAGGGTCAGCAAAGGACAAATATTGTATAGAACTGCTAAGCACAGGCCTCATACCTAATTAGCAAATATAGGTGTTCCCATTGTACAGATATACCGGTAATTGCAAATTATTCATAGGAACAAGGATTGTAATATATTTACTCACATTCATAGGATTATGCATATTAACCATTTGCAGAATTTGGGTGTGCAATGAACACCTTGAAAAACTTCCTGCTGCAGTTTGTGCTGGCATATCCCTGGCCCTGCTGCCAAAATGACAGCTGGACACAGCTGTTGTGTAAAATGGAGCTTCTAAACTGTGTTTGGAATACTTATTCAGAAATAAAATATAACAACATTATTGTAACATTGTATTTACTCTGCTTCATTCATCTGCAAACCAACCAGGTTGACAGATGAAAAAGATCAAGTGATCCTTTAATTCCTGTTTTTATTTTTGTTTAATGTTTTTTGCAATTGTTAAAATTTTTGTTGAGTACAGACCTATGTTTATCCTAAGCATACCACTGGCACCTCTAATTTAGAAACAAAGCTGCATTAATGACTAAATTACTAAAAACTGTAAAAGTACAAAAGCCAAAGTGCACTAAAGGTTTTCACAGTGTTTGCACAGATATGCTGCTTTTTCCAACAACAGCTGGGCACCTGAAAAACCTAGATCGGCATTGCTATGGAGCCAAAATGGATGATACAGGGTCCTGAAGGTCCCCAGCCAGCGGCCAGTACAGCAAGTATGTGCAAGACAGCCAAGCTCTAAACACTTTAGATGCAGGAAACAACAGATCTGCAATAGAGGAAAGCTATGATAAACCTGCTGAGCTTTATTACTGTACTGCACATATTTGTATGTCAGCCTAGCCATGAGGTGATCAGTACCTTGTTCATGGGATCACTTTCATCATATATGTCAGTTTACGCCTAGCTTCTCCTGTTATTATTATTTCCTGTTTGTGGCCAGGTACCACTTGCTATAGTTGAATGTCATGAAAGCCTTTTCTTCTGTTTTAGTTGAGATACTGCTTACTCCCTGGCAAAGGGAGAGAAGAAGCTTATATCCAGGGACAGAGATGCTGGAGGGGAAGAACAGGAACAGTACAGAAAGAATAATACAAGGTGTAGGAGAGGAGTAATACAGGGGCATTATGTAAGTGGAGGAGAGGAGCAGAACAGAGGCTATGCTGAAATTAGAGGAGAGAAGCTCTCCAGAGCAGGCAATGGAAACAAAGCAGGCACTTGAGATAGAAAGGGGTATCAGTGCTGGGGGTCACTGGATGCAAATGATAGCAGTATAGGAGGTCACTGAATAAGGATGAGAGTAGCAGTATGGAGGGCATTGGACGTAGAGGAGAGGAGCGGTATGGGAAGTCTATGGTATTCTAGGAGAGAGGAGCAGTTTATGGGAGTCTCTGGCGGTGCTTCAGAAGACCAGCATGAGAGGGATGCTGGAGGGTGAACAGGGGCAAATTTACATTTGTGGTCAGTGGAGAAGATCCAACCTTACATTAGTGGTCAGTGGGGAAGTGCCCACATATGTTGATGGTCAGTGGAGATGTGCCCTTGGTGGTGATGTACTTGGTCAATGAATAACCAACTTATGAGAAGAAGGACAAAATACACTACTGTCTCTACTCGGTTGCAGTTGGTCAGGCTATGTAAATAGTGATTCCCAGATTGTCTGAAGTTGTGATAGAATAGCAATAACTTACATACTGGCAGAATACACAGATATGTGACTCAATAGAAGGCATGACTGTAGATCTAGATGAGGTTTAATCTCCTAGGATAGATCTTGTGAAATGTGAACAGTTCTATAGGTCAAATTGAATGCTTAACCAGGTATGCAGAGAGAGATGACAGTACATGCATTCAAGTGTATAGCTTCTGGCTACTCACTATGGGAGGGGCATAAATGAATACAAGGAACACACTACCTAAACTAGAAAACTCAGATAATGAAAAACATAACACCTATTTTGTGGGACACCTTTGTAGAGCTCAAGATTTGACCCTGCTTTAGCTAATGTGCTGATCTTGAGGTCTGAGAAGAATAGGCTGACATGAGTGAACAACCACTGTTTGGGGTTTCTAGTGGAGCTGCAGGCAGCACAACCCATGGTTCTGCAGGGATCTCCACAAATTGGTTTTCGAGAACCACTTGTGGTTATCATTACCTACTCTGTATCTATTTTCTGTGATTGACTGCACTGCAATTTGCTGCTGTTGCTGCTGTAGCACTTAGGTAAACAACAGATTGTTTTAGTAGCATTTTTACTAGATTAACTCTAGTGAAGAGGTAGCACATTTACTCTTTAAATATATTAAACTGATTTAATATGCATTGATCAAATACTGATCCTTAGTGGTCCACAGCAGTGTTGCAAAAGTGACTTTCGCTGTATTTACAAAAAAAAATCTCATGAAGTTAATTTGTGTTTGTGTGCGCATACTCTTTCCCTCTCATAGATGCATATTTACTAAGGATCTGCCACCCATCACCATGGTCTGATATTGCCAGTTCCAATATACAACTACTCGCCACCTAAAGAGCATACAAACTTGCACTTTTATTATGACACTAAACTCAGGAGTTAAACCATAAAAATCCATTCAAGTACCTTAACTATTAAAAAGATGTAGCTTACGTGTGTATCACTCAGCTGTAGATCCTAAAATAATTTCGGAATTCCTTCTGATACTGTCCTTCCTTCTGGAGGGGGGGGGCTACTTTGTTCCCCATGGTCCCTGTGTGTGTTGTAAAGTAGCCACTGCACCAAGCTTGCTCCCGTGATTTGTATTGAGATTGTAGTCCATCACGGGAATGAGCTTGGAGCCGTGGCTACTTTACAACACACACAGGGACCATGGAGAACAAATAGCCCCCCTCCAGAAGGAAGGACAATGTCAGTAGGAATTCAGAGATGGTTTGAAGATCTACAGTCGAGTGATGCACAAATAAGATACATTTTTGTTAATAGTTAGGGTACTTAAATGTATTTTTAAGATTTAACTCTTGAGTTTAGAGTCACTTATTTTACATTATTAGAAATTAGAGTGTAGTTTGATGAACTTCAAAAATTGTATTAGTTATATAATCTTGTCCTTTTAACAAAGTCCTGTTAAAATATTTTTGTATAGCCTTGTGCTTGATGATCTGGCAAAAAAGTTATTTGTTACTTTGATGTCAATCAATAGAGCACTCTGCTAGCCAACATTTAGAGGCGACCGCCCATGTAAATAAACATGGTTGAATGCAGTGAACACAACAATATTGTGTTGTCATAAAAGATAAACAAGGCTGCCTATGTCTTAGTAGATTGGTCCCAGTGTTTTTTCAACCCTTAACCTTCTATTTTACCTTAGTAATGGCACCATTATACTCAGGAACACAGTAAGACTTAAGAGGTTGAAGGCAAATTACATTGTTAAGCATCCTCGACCTCGATTAGCTTTTATGTTTTAAACAAGCAGAAACCTTTTTCGGTTTTGAAGGACTTAATATTGCTCTGTTGAAAGTGTTAGCACTGATTCAATTCATGAGTAGCAATGATTCATTACAAATCAGGGTAAACATTATACTATATTTACTTTTTATTTTGACCAAGTATATTTAAATTATAATAATCTAAGTTCCTCTTCTTTAAAACAAAAGTTGTACAGCTTCCTAAGGCCCCGTTCACACCTGAGCGTTTTACCACGCGGTCGATCGTGTGGTAAAACGTGCAACAGGTGAAAACCCATGTTTGCCTATGGGCATGGTTGTCACCTGCGCGTTTTACCGCCCATTCGATCGCGTGGTAAAACGCCATACGCCCAAAGAAGTACATGAGCTTCTTTGGGGCGTATTAACATCAGGATACAGCGGGATACCCGCTCGGAATCTTGTGTTTGCCGCGCGTTTCTTTTACCGCAAATCGTGGTAAAACCGCGCGTTAAGAAACGTGCGGCAAACGCGAGTTTCCAATACGCTGAGGTGTGAACCCAGCCTAAGTCACCGGCAGGGATGAGTGAATCTGCCTGGCTTTGGTTCACAGGGAGTTCATTGAATCCTGTTTGAACTGATACAGTGAACTTCATTAAAGTCTATAGGGGACAAATCTTGATACTAACTTTTGGCAATTTTAAAGTGACATTAATGTTGCAATCCCGCCCCCCCACACCCCCCACCCCCATGCTGCTTTAAGGACTAACATT